TGTTACAGAGTTTTTCTGACCTTCTGATGTACTCTAGAAGAAAAAGATAGTTTGGAACAGTTTAACCGTGGGACTGCTAATTACTTTTTTTCAGTTGGCCTTATTTTGAAGCTTTAAGGATATATATACCGTTTTTCGTTGTGATATCATTAATATTCAGCTTTTGCGTCACAAAGGTTGTAAAGTTCCGCAGTTGTGTAAAATTATATCCGCGAAGTTCGACTCTCCGTTTTGCAAAAAAGCTTCAGGTTTTTCAGGTCAGATGAGCGATAAATTTCAAGCATTGAATGTATGCGTGACAGCTGCAGCTGCTGCCAAGATAAGCAGCCAAGAAATTCTATGCTGGGTCAGTGAAACTCTTCAGACGGACATAGTTACTCGAGTGCATGAGCTTGGAACTGGCGAACACTACTGTTTGTTACTACACATGCTTTTCAATTTCAAAGAGACAATCCCTCTCAAAAAAATTAAATTTGGTTCAAAAGTTGAAGTTGACCATATAAATAACTGGAAGTTCTTTCAAATGGGCCTTAAATCTGTAGGCCTAGACAAAGAAATCAACATTGACAAATTGGTGAAACAGAAGCCCATGGACAATTTAGAGTTTGCTCAGTGGTTTTACAAATTCTTTGACGCTAACAGAACCACAGACACGGAATTATACGATCCTGTATTTGAACGAGAAAAACGTGGAATCATTTTGGAAAGACCAAATCAAAACCATTTTAACACGTCTCCCAACAAAAAGGTACTTCTGAAGCTTTTCCTCTATCTAAATATTGAAATAAAACTTTGGCGCTTAAATATACAAATCTACCTGCATAGTTTAACAACAATTAGCAACATCACCTTCCTTTTTGCTCCTTTCTTTTTTTGTGACCAATTAACAGATGTTTCGGAAAACAGTGTTCAGTTTGAATGTGGAATGATTTTTGTTTTTTTTTTGTTTGCAGTGAAATTATTTTTGTTTTTCTGTAATAGGTTGTGTTTAGAATAACGACTCTGAATCGCGTATCACCAAGTATTCGGCTTCGACTATGAAAAAGAACGGACACAGTAAACCGGCTAAAGGAAATGAAACGAGTATCAGAGCAAATTCGCAATCGAACACTCCCTCTAGGGGCGAATTGAACAGATTAACTGGAAAAGTCGAAGAATTGACTCTAAACATTGAAGGCTTAGAAAAAGAACGCGATTTCTATTTCAGTAAACTGAGAGACATCGAAATAAGATGTCAAGAGAGTTCTCACAACGGATCGCTTCCAGTTAAAGCTGTCTTGGATATTTTATACAGCACAGAAGAAGGATTTGCTACTCCAGAATAGTTCCAAAAATTAAGGAACTTTGGTCGTTTGCCCGCATTTAGCTGATCTCTACATATCAAAAGCAATATCATCAAATAGCTCTGTCTTCTTCGCAATCACGATTTAGTTTAGAGGGATCTTGTTTCTGGGTGAGCATTCGGGGTCAATTGTTTCCGGGTCAATTGCATTCTTTTATCTTCAATGTGAATATTGCAAATATTGTTTTTATGAATTCTTGTAGTTCCTTTTCTAAAAGATGAATTGTAAATTTGTAAATGGTTTTGGTTTCACTGTAGCTGATTTAGTAAAAGTTTTTCGTGTGTTTTTTTTTTGCGTTTTTACAGTAAATATTGTAAGAATTGCTCAAGCTCTCTTTACTCGTTTTTGTTTAATCATTGCAATGTCATGAAAAGGGTAGCTACATTACATGCTATAGTTGTTAAATTTTGTCGTTTGCAAATGACCGTTTTTAAATTATTTGCTCAATATTTTTTAAAGCGTTGTTAGTAAGTCAAAAATAGTTATCTATCTATACATCATCAATTGGCGTTTCACTTGGCTGATGTTTAAGAAGACCCTATGTTGACATGTTTAAGCTTTTTCAACGTATTATTTTTTGCATGTTTAACGATAGAATTTCTAAGCTGCGTTTAAGTTATTTCGTGTGTTGTAATGCTTAAGAATTTTCACTTGGCACTTGTTATGATTGGCGTTTTTATGATTTTTTCAATTTTCTTTCGAAAAATTTAGATGTTTAAAACATATTCGAACTTGAAATTCTGCACCCAATATTGAGCTCTTGTCAGGATAAACTCAAAAGTTGCGAATCTGGCGTCCAAGTATCACTGCTCAAATCTTTTTCGTTTTCGAGATATGGCTTTTTAAAATTTTTTTTCGAAAAATTTAGATAAAGAAAAATTATTGGAACTTGAAATGCTTCACCCTAAAGTGGGGTGCTGCCAAGGCACACTCAATGGTTGTTAAGCTGGCGATAAAATATGACGGAAAAATTGTTTTGGTTTTCGTGAAATGTTTTTTTAATGGTTTTGAGTTTTTGTTAAATATAAAAAAACTAACCGAACTTGAAATTCTCAAACCTATAGGGGTGTTATGTCAGGGTACACAGAGTTTCCAATTTTTCTTTTCAAATGTGAATGCTCAGTTTTTTTTCCAGGATGTGGCGCTTTCATGCTTTTTTCAATTTTTTTTCCAACGTTAAGATCTAGAAAAAGTAACAGAACCTGAAGTTCTCAACCCTAAGGCCGAGTCCTCTCAATTACACATTAGCGTTGGAATTTTGCACTCCTAATTTGACTGATCCAATCTTTTCGGTTTCCGAGATTTGGGAATTTTCTATGATTTTTTCAAAAAAAAACTATCTGAAAAAACGAACGATTTTGAAGTTCGATACAGTAATCATTGATGTTTCAGGAGGCTCTTTTTTACGTTCAACGATCTATTTGAAGCACCGTAGGTGCGAGTCATGAGCTAGTTAATATTAATATCTATATCTAGACTATATTTAAGTGCGTGTTACATTTTTATCGGAATTTTCAAGCTTTGTCTGCCATATCTAAGCACCATCTTTGCGTGTTTAAGCTATATCTTATGTGGCAATGGATAAGACATCCTTTTATACATTTTTAAAGAGTACAGGAACATGTCTATATCTTTCTATCTAAACATTTTTCAATTGGCGTTTCTTTTGAACCATGTTTTAGAAAGTCCATGATGTTGACATGTTTAATGACATGCTTATTGATTTCAACATTTTAAATTCCCAAGGTCATCTCTGATTTCAACGGTACATCTGTGGAAGCGTGAATGCTTTAACTGCACACTGACTTATTACGAAATTTAACCTTTTCAAAGCTTTTCGTTTCAGTTTATTTGTTTTTTTTTTCAGAAAATTGCGGTTCTCAACCATATGGTAATGTGCTATCACGGTAGACTCAGTTGATACAAATCAAGCCTCAAAATATCCTTGTTAAAATTCTTTTGGTTTCCGAGATTCAAATTAAAAAAATATTCACTTAGTTTTGGAGAAAATTTACAAACAGGAAACTCTCGAGTTGATTTTGAGCTGCTCGTATGGTACACGCTGGGGCTATTTTTCTGTCCTCTGTATATAACCGCTCAATTTCATTTTGTTTTTCGATAAATGGCTTTTTTACATTTTCCCGAAAATTTGGGATCTAAAAAACCTGCACAACTCGAATTTCTTATTTTTTTGGAGGAGCGTTCTGAGGTTAAGACATTTTTAAAGACTACTAGAACGAATCTATATCTATCTCTTTCTATCTATACGTTTTTTAATTGGTGTTTCTTCTGAAACATGTTTTAGAAAGTCCATCATCTTGACAAACTTTTTGAATTCAACGTTTTAAATTCCCAAGGTCATCTCTTATTTAACGGTACATCTGTGGAAGCGTGAATGCTTTAACTGTACAGACTAACTTATTTCCAAATACAACCTTTCAAAGCTTTTCGTTTCAGTTTATCTGACAAAATTGCGGTTTTCAACCATATGGTGGTGTGCTATCACGGTAGACTCAGGTGTTGTAAATCTGGTCTCCAAATACCATTGTTTAAATTCTTTTGGTTTCCGAGATATGAGTTTTTTTAATCATTTTTCAATTTAAAAAAATTATATGCTTAGATTTGGAGAAAACCAACAAACAGGAAACACTCAAACTGATATTGAGCTGCTCTTATGCTACAATATGGGGCTGCTTTTCTGTCTTCTAATTATAACCGCTCAAGTTCTTTTTGTTTTTCGATATATGGTTTTTTTATTTTCTTTTTTTTTTTTCAAAAACTTAGATTCCAAAAAACCAGCATAACTGGAATTTCTTAATAATTTGGGGGAGCGTTCTAAGGGTACACTTCTAAGTTGCAATTTTTCTTCTAAATATAACTGCTCGTATCCTTATGTTTTCCGAGATACATCGTTTTTTATAGCTTTTCCTTTTTTTCCCAAAAATTTTAGGTTTGAAAAACAAACTAGCAGAACTTCTAAGTCATCAGATTTTGCGAGTAATTTTCAAAAGTACTTGATTGCTAGTAGAACTTCTTGCTGGGATGTTTTTGTAGTTCGCAATATTAAAGCTCATTGACAAAATTCAGTTGATTAGTTTTTTCAGCTTGATCTGTTTCTCGAAGCAGCTTAGCTGCAGTTACACAAGTCGTCTAATTCTTACTGCTCAAACCTTTCTTGTTTCTAAGATATGGCGTTTCTCATATTTTTTACAATACTTTTTCAAAAAGCTAAGATAAAAAAACAAGAAATAAAATTTGAAATTCTGAACCCCATGGTGGGTTGTGATCACGGCAGAGTACAATATAGGGTAGCAAATCTGCGCTAATTTATTTGCTCAATTTTTTTTGCTTTGCGAGATATTGCGTTTTTATGAGAAAGGAATCCCTGATAGATGTTGTAATAAGCCTTTTTTACGTTCAACGATGTATTTTAAGCACCGAAGGTGCGAGTTATGCGCTAGTTAATATTATTATCTATATCCAGACTATTTATAAGTGCTTGTTAAATGTATCTCGCAATTTTTAAGCTTTTTGCCATTATTAAGTAAGATAGCGTATCTTTGCATGTTTGAGCTATATCGTATGTGGCAATGCTTAAGACATTTTTTTGTCATTAGTTTAGACTACAAGAACAAATCTATATCTATCTATCTATCTATCTATCTATCTACCTATCTATACATTTTTGAATTGGCGTTTCACTTGACACATGTCTAAAAGAATCCATCATGTTCAATGACTTGATTGTGGTTTTAAATTCCCAAGTTTATCTCTTCTTTCAACGATACATATTGAGAAGCGTGAATGATTTAACTGTACAGACTAACTTATTTCCAAATGCAACCTTTCAAAGCTTTTCGTTTCAGTTTATCTGACCAAATTGCGGTTTTCAACCATATGGTGGTGTGCTATCATGGTACACTGTGGTATTGCAAACCTGGCCTCCAAATATCATTGTTGCTTTTTTTTTGGTTTCCGAGATGTTAGTTTTTTAAACCATTTTTCAATTTAATAAAAAATTCTTAGGGTTGGAGAAAACCAACCAACAGGATTCTCTCAACTTTATTGTGGGCTGCTTTTAGGGTACACTTTGCTTTTGTGGTCTCTAAATATAACAGCTCAAGATCTTTTTGCTTTCTGATATATCTGGCGTTTTTTAAATTTTTCAGTTTGTTTCGAAAACTTAATTTTGAAAAACCAGCATAACTCGAATTTCTTAATAATTTGGGGGAGCGTTCTGAGGGTACACTATGAGGTTGCAAATTGCACTCTAAATATAACTGTTCAAATCCTTGTGGTTTTCGAGATACGTCGTTTTCTATAGTTTTTTTTCTTTCAATTTTTTCAAAAACTTCAGGATATGAAAAAAAAAACAAAAAGAATTTGAAACCCTCAGCATTTTGCCGGGCATTTTCAAAATTACGTGATTGCTAATAGATTTTCTTGCTGAGTTGTTTTTGTAATTTCGCAATATTCATGTTCATTAACAAATTCCAGTTGCTTAGTTTAGTCAGCCTGATCTGTTTCTCGAAGCAGCTTTGCTGCAGTAACGCAAGTTTTCTAATCATACTGCTCAAATTTTTCTTGTTTTTAAGATATGGCGTTTCTCATGATTTTTAAAAATACTTTTTCAAAATCGAAGATTAAAAAACAAGTAATAATTTTGAAATTCTGAACCCTATGGTGGGTTGTTATCAGTGCAGGGTACAATATAGGGTAGCAAATCTGCGCTCTAATTTATCTGCTCAAGTCATTTTATTTCCGAGATTTTGCGTTTTTATGAGAAAGGAATCACTGATAGATGGTATAATAAGCCTTTTTTTACGTTCCACGATCTATTTTAAGCACCGAGGGCGCGAGTCATGCGCTAGTTAATTTTAATATCTGTATCTAGACTATATGTAAGTGCTTGTTAATTGTATCTCGCAATTTTAAAGCTTTTTGCCATATGTAAGAACCATAGGCGTATCTTTGCATGTTTGAGCTATATCGTATGTGGCAATGCGTAAGACCTTTTCTAGTCATTTGCTTAGACTATATGAACAAATCTACATCTATCTATCTATCTATCTATCTAAACATTATTGAATTGGCGTTTCACTTGAAAAATGTGTAAGAAAGTCCATCATATTCAATGACTTGATTGTGGTTTTGAATTCCCAAGTTCATCTCTTCTTTCAACGATACATTTGTAGAAGCGTGAATGCTGTAACTGTACAGACTTCCTTATTTCGAAATTGAAATTTTTTTTGAAGCTTTTCGTTTCAGTTTATTTGA